TTTCCACAATTCCCATTACTATACTATGAGACCTGGATGATTAATCTGATTTGGAGCAAGCCAGAATCTTTGTCTGCTTTCTGTTCAGTGCTAGTAGTAAAACAACTAGTTATTTCTTCTCTTAACATATGGCAAGACTGTATGTCATGACTTTAGAATGAACCTTCCTGCCTTTCTTTCTTTTTTGCCTTCCACTAATACCTGAAAACTATTTGAACATACAGTTTAAGCAATCTCTCCTGTTGTGTTTTCAATTCCAGACATATTATGTATATACGTCGAGGCACAGAGTGACCAAAGCCAAATTAAATTACATTCCCTCCAATGTCAGTAAGGGCTTTCCTGTGTAGAAGTTTCAGGAAAAAAAATAGTCTTTTATTATCTATCAAATTCTGCTTAATAATAGTTACATTCAGCTTTATTCCATCTCATCTTATACATAGCTTTATTTCAGAAAGGGGCTAAAGAATAACAACCTGGCCCTGTCTTTACCTCTGTTTATTTTTGTCCGTATACTGTTAGGCAAGCTCTTGCCATAAAGACATGCAAAAGCAAAGGCTTGGCTTTTTTAAATCATATCTTGCCTTGCTGGCACAGCAGAGAAAAAATAAATTTCATATTCAAAATGTAAATTTCCTAGTACCCAGTAGAGATGGATGAATTTGAAGAGTCAGAAACAGTGGCATTTCCCTTAGCCAATGGCCCTTCTCTCAAATGTTAACGGATTTTTTAAAGGCTGGTGTTATGTTCTATACTTTCCTTGCGACAATGGCCACATAAATATTAAACAAGCAAATGAAAACACACAAAACCCAAACGTGTAAGTCAGCAGTATATGTAGATGAGAGCACCAACTGCCGCACAGTATTATTTTCCATTACCTTATTGTATCACACAACGTAATGTCAAAATGATACCCTTGAACAAGACAATACTGTAAAGCTTATCCTTGTACAGATGGTTGTCATGACCACAATTCAGTAAGGAGGGAAAATTAGATCCCAGGCCATTTTCTCTGCATTGTTTAAGCATGGGAACAGCAAGGAAGCTCAACTGGGATCTTCCTATCTTAAATCAAGATAAATATGGTACATCTATTTTTACGTAAACATAATAATTAGTGAGACAATGCATGTATGCTGCATTGATTATGGCTCAACTCAGACAAGAATCTTCAATTTCAAGATTTAAAAAATAGGCAAGTGATGTTAAAAGATATAAAGAATTTTGTATTGTCTTACAACTACCTAACAATTGTCATAAAATTACAGTAATTATTATATCTTTACACTAAAGATACAAAAATAGGACAAAGAATATTTAAAAATATAGATCTTTAAATATTTTTCTAGATAGACAAGAATATGAATAATTTTTCATCCTTATATATCAGCAATACAGGGGAAAATAAATTAATATTACTGGATGTAAGGTACCCTGATATTGGTCTTCACACAGAAACACTTTACCATTCCCATCTTTTTTATAGAGGTATATCTTCTCAGAGATCAGGAAATCCTGAAAAAAACTGTCCTGTACTCCATCATCTTCTTGTGAATGTCGGGATCTTGCTTGATAAAGCTTAAACTGTAAATATCCCTTTAAATGTGTTCACTATCATGGTCATTGTTCACCCAATTTAGCCAGTCAAATACTATTTCTTCTGTTAAATTCAATGTATAGAAAACCAACATATTTGTCCCACTAATCCTAAGCAATTATTTCTTCATTATCTCCTTAATATTTAAAAA